AAAATAAAAAGTAAATCACTGATTTATTTTTGTACAGAAGCACTCTGGTGCGCGCGCGCGTGTGTATGTGTGCATATTTACAAATATGCACATCTAATTCCTACAACTAAAAATTAAATTTAATTTAAAGGTTATTCAATTAGTACTAATATTGACATTTTTCATTAAACCCTGTTATAAATAGTACATATAAATTAGTACAGTTCCATTTTACTTTAAAATTTATACAAAGAAATAAAGCTATACGTTAAATATTACAATATACTCAAAAAAATACGAAGTAAAATTAATGGTAAAATTAATGTTGTAATGATAATTAAATCTGACATCATATTATTATATTTCGAGATACATCAAAATTCGTAAATATTTGAATAAACAGTATTCTGTAACAGTACACTTGTAATGAGCATATTTTTTAAGTAGAATGTATTACATAGTATTCCCAAATGAATTCAAAATATGTATACAAAAATATGTTATCATCAATATGTTTTTAGTATGATTGAACTATACATTTTAGAGAAATCGTAACTGTTTTTCAGAAAAATTATCATATGAGTACTCGGTTCGCTGAACAATTAAGGCGTTGTCATCAGTTAATTAGCCCTAACTCTTTTAGGAAATAAATACCTTATTAATAGCGAGTAACAGTATAAAAATGGTTAATAAGAACAGGGAGTGGCTAAACACAATGTTTAACAAAACTTAATTTTTTCTGTAGTGTAAAGTTCAATTTCCCTATATTTGTATTGCACAAATATTGTATTAAAAAAAAATACGAAAACTGAAAATATAAACGTAAATAAAAACGCAACTCACAGGCAACCATCGTGATGGGTGGATTCTCCTTGCTTCAACTGCTACACATTCAAGAGTTTCCACCAAGTATTATGCGAAGTTTAGAAATCGCGAAAGCATACCACTTTTGTTACGTGTATTTCATTCGTTTGATAGACAGAACAAGAATGATAATGCTATCTACATCACACATTAGTTCACAAACTTTAAACGGATAAAGATATTTAAACAGAAGTTATATCTGGAATGCAGTTCGAATAATTAAAAAGTTGTATTCTAAGCCAATAAAAAAACGAATTACTGTCAATTCATTGAAAAATGAATAATGCGCTTTGCAATATTAAAAAAAATTTTCTAATTCTTTATATATAATATGATATGAAACAATCAACAATATTTATAATAATAGTAATATAAATAAAAAT